TCTTGCGACTCGAATAAGAAGATTATTAATTATGAGAAATATTTTAACATGTTTATATTGGAAGGAGTTTTTTTTTACTATCTATACGATATAGTATTACGTACTACTCAAGATTTTGAATAACTAACATTAGTTTGTTGTTTGCCATAGTCTTATTGTCTTAATACACCGAAGGAGATCATGTGTTATATTGAGTCTCGTGTAAATAACTACGTTATTTCGCTAAAATGTTTAACACCAAATTTTCTTTATAAACAATATAACGATAAACGAAAGATTACCACCTTTTGGTTAAAACGTTCATTTTTTTTTGCGAAATTTCAGTTTTTTTGCGAAATTTTTTGGAATTCTACGAAAAACTGATACAAATTTTGCTAACGAACTCGTTTATAGCACTTCCGAGTCAAATTGGAACATACTCTTAATCATACCCTCGTCCGAACTGTACTTCTATTCTTATTCTAGACTGTTCTTAAAGCGATCGTTTTTAAGTATTTTACAAAGAACAAAAGGAGAATACATATCCAGAATTTATTGTAAGTAATTCGCTAAACGCTTTGATACTAAATAATTGCACGAAACTGAAACACAACGTCAAAATTGGCCTCGAGAACTGTTTCCACACAGATGGCCGATCTCTCGATCAAATCCATAACTGATCCCTCGAGGCAAACGTTGTATTCTAGTCATGTCGGCCTAGATAAGTTGATACAAAGCTTATTTCTTATAGTAGTGTCCAAAAGAGTCCAGAATCGGGACTTCAGGCTGAGGGTTGGCTAGGGAAAAACTTGACTTACTTCAATGCTAGATGTTGATTCCATATCGGGCGCTTATATAGACTCAATCCGCAGTGAAGTGTCCGTTCGAAAAATATTCAGACGTGTATGGGGGACAGCTTCATTGATTTGCTCCCATTACTTGAGCGTCGCCCGATTATATTATCCGGTTAACATATGCAGCTATGTTACTTAATGGAAAACAGGATCACCGCGTTCTAAACAAGGAAGCTACTGATGCAGGCAAAAAATATCACACTGAGTAGTGTCTAACTGTCGTATAGTACAAAAGATACGGTCATGTAATTTTTGTGTACCTATAACTTATTCTGTGGAGCCATCATAGGAGTTAGCACAAGGAGCGTTCAAAAAATGCAAAAAAAAACCTTGAGCTACGAAACGAAGCGTAAGTTTACGAAATTTAGGGAAGATTCAACAGGCTACAAAAATTCAAACACACCTAATAACCATAACCGTTCGTTGAGTAAATTTTCTGAAAGATCCATTTGGGGTACAAATGTATTCAGTTGCGACTTCAGATTATCCGGATCAATTTGTACGTCCTTTAGTAACAATACCAGTATGGCTTCGTCGCCTGAATACGGAGTATGTTTTAAAGCTCTATCGGTATTTAGGGTAATCTTGAGGCAATCTTGATCTGAGCGCACAACGTAACCTTTTTGCTAAATCATTTATTATATAAATATACGTGGGACATGGGTTAACCTCGTCATCGATATAGAATCGCACGCTACCACGAACACTAGCGTCTATATACCAACGTCTAGCAGTTTTATACATATCTAAACGCTCATATCGTCTGTGGCATGTGGGCGCGTGCTTTAAGAACTTAGCGTCTAGCAACAATGAAACAAAATGAAGATGGTATCTGTTCGACTCACAATAGACCTATATGTATATAGATGAAGGCGGGTGATGCTAATTTTAAGTGGAGCGTACTTTGAGAATGTTTGATAGAAAAAAAACGGATATTAGCATGGTTTCAAATACAGTGGTATTGTTTATGTGTAATGCCTGTGTGTTTATTTTCTATTTGCTAGGTCTCTTATGCACGCACGTATGTATGCATGCATGCATGCATGCATGCATAGTTGACTCAGAACGATGAACACGAATCTTGTAGCGGTGTTGATGGCTAAACGTAGTATTGTATGATGTCTGACATTGGCACGAGATTGAATGTGTTAACCTTCTTCGTTTTAATATTGCCAACAAAAACTGGCCTTACTTAGTAATCGTATACTGGGAAAAGAAACGTTTGGTAAATGGGTAAAAATGTAGATGATGCAAATAAAAGCAGATTTTTTTTTCAAATTAAATTCACAAAACTGGAAAAAAAATCTTATCTCGACGAAATGTATGAGACGACAAAAAAATGTGTCCCTTGTATGTAATTATGACGACCTGCAGCTCTTCGTTCCCTATTTTAAGATGACCTTTAACCGAGTGTACAGCTGTTAACGGTCTTTGTCGCACAAGGACTCCCTAGCCCGTGTAAGGAGATCATCCACGATAAGACGAATTTTTTACTTTTTATTTTTATTCAAATAGGGCCATTTTAAATCGTAAAATCCTATTACCTGCGACCTACAGCTGCACTTGGTAACGTTGCCACAAAAAGGCAGCAACTTCAACCGATAATAAAAATATCAAATGAATAATAGAAACATCAAACGAATTTTGTTTTAGATTAGATTTTCACAATATGTCATTTACGTTTTAATACAACATTGTCTATAATGATGGATTGCAATAATGATAGATCTGGTACCAGCAGGTTTAAGGTGCTTATTAGATCTTTAACAATTGTCCCGTTGTACGCACTTACATGTAATCCGCTATGTTATAAAGCGAAGGAAAAGCGTATAAACGAAAATAACCCATGATAGACATATATTAGGTCTATAGTATATGACAGAAGAGCTAAATGAGTTGACGAAGACCTTTCCACGATGTATTAGATGTTGGGTTATAGTAGGTGCGCTTTTATCCGGAGCTATTTCTGGCACGCTTTTGATCCCATCAAATAAAATTTTCTGCTTGCCCTTAGTCACGCCGTCGAATTTGCCAGCCGTTTCGTTAAAAAAAAAAGCTACTTCAATTCTGAACAGCTCAACACCATTAAAACCAAAGGAACCAAGACCCTGTAACAAAAAGACACTTTGAAATTGAGTTGTTACCGCCGTAGGACCTTATTGGACGTATTTACGGTTAACATTTAATGGAGCAGATAGGTGATTGATATGTATTGCATTCAATGATGTTTTTGTTGAGCTCAGCTCATTGAACACACCGTATCTAACATCCCTAAGTGGACTTTATTTCTTCAGACGCCATACTTCTATTGGACTGTATAAAGGAAGAACGATTGAAAATTAGTCGAATGATTAATACACCCCACGTATTCATGCTATTACTATAAAAGGCCGGTAGAGATAAGGCGAGCTAATATAGATTTCCGAAAATTGAACGCGTTACACCCAGCGAAAAACCAACTTAACACATAGTCGTACATAGGTGCCATTGCTATGACAGATAGTAAATACTAGCAGAAACGGTAATACGTGTTGACAATATGACTAAAAACCATCTGTCATTGTGTAAGAGGTGGCCTTGGTGAAAAACGCGAGGAAAAATCACTCCTTCTTGCTAGATAATACCATCATTGAGATAAACAGAAACATTGGAGTCGTTTCACTAGTACAGCTGCAACATAGCTGAACTATTCCTATAAACATTAACTGCATATAAAAACTTTTTTACCTTCTCGAACGTGTTACTCTTTTTTAGATTACAAGTTGAAATTAGCACCGTGGAAGACAGGACTCGGGTCGCTCGTACACAGGAAGTAAAATCTTGGAGACTGGTTCAGCGGATACCACGGGATCTGTATTTGGTATAAACTTAAAATGCTAGGCCTAAACGAAGTTTGTGATCTCCAAGGAATGATAATGTGCTCACTCATGTGCATTTGGATATACTTATTTAAGTTATTCCCGAATCCCGACATTAACAAGAAGTTTGAGGCTCCTTATAGCAGATGGGAACTTAATAAATTTTCAAAATTCAAAGAAGTTCTCATTTTATGTCTCTAAAACCGATATATTTGGGACTATATGAGATATGTGTAGCGAAATGTTCTTTAAAAACCTTTATTTTTTCATTGTATGTATATATATATATCTATCAGCATCAAAAAGGTATTCGATGGAGCAGTAGCGAACGTTCTATATTAAATAAGCACGAAAATCATTATCGACAAATACTGGCTAAAATACCAAACCCAAATATATGAAAAACTATTTTTTATTTATACCTAATAAATTCCACCGACTAAGTAGAATTTATTCTCCTTCTTCGTTCTCTAACTTAAGTTGGAAGCGAAAACAATAACAATTTTAACGCTATTAGCAAAGCCGCCTTACGTTTGTCGGCCAGGTAGGTTTTCGCTTTTTTTTTTTGCCGTACTTCCCTTCTATCTTTCCCGTGCTTTCCCTTTATGTATTCGTGTCAGCTTTACATAAAAACACTTCATTGGTAAGTAAAACATTTGCAGCTTTTATAATTAGAAAAATCAGTGACTCAAGTGATTTACGCACAAAAACTATTAACTCTATAAATATATAGTTTAAAAAGTTTTTTTTAGGGTCGCCGGATATACAAGGCATGAATTTGTTGCGTTGGCTTTCCTCTAGATAATCGTATTGTTACAGCCAGAAGGATGCGCTGAGTGGTACTGTGGATGTAATACTTAATAAACTAGTATAGGAATAGATTCGCAAAAGGAAAGTTTTTTCGCTTACATGTAATACAAGTCCTTTTGCCATAGCCAGAAAGAGGACAGCACCAGTCCAATTACATAGAAGGAAATTCGGTTTATTTGGATCAATCGAAAAGCTTCGATCAATCGAGTTATGAGACAATCAAACGTGGGCCAGGTCAAAGATTGTGAGATGAAATCCTAAAACGAAATACTATGCTTGAAATTACATGCAAGAGCTTTTTAACTTCGTGCAGGATTTATGCTACGAGTCGTGGTCTCAATATTACATTGTTCATATGTTTGATACATGGCTAAAATAATTTCGCT